GTGGAGTTTGCATGTTCTCTCCGTGCATGCGTGGGTTTTCTCCGGGTGCTCCGGTTTCCTCCCACAGACCAAAAACATGCATGTTAGGCTGATTGGTAACTCTAAATTGTCCCTAGGTGTGAGTGAGAGAGTGAATGTTTGTTTGTCTCGTTTGTCTCTATGTGGCCCTGTGATGGACTTGCGACCCGTCCAGGGTGTACCCCGCCCCTCGCACAGTGATTGCTGGACATGGGCACCAGCGACCCCCGTGACCCAAAATGGAATAAGCGGGTAAAGAAAATGGATGGATGGATTTCATGTCGGATGCTCTCACCATTTACCCGGGCTTGGGATCGGCACGAGATACTCTGGTTCCTGCTCCATATTGGCTGATTTATTTATACATGTCTATATTAGGTTTCTAAAGATTTCCATAAGTGTCTCACGTTTAAAACACATTAGAATAGACATTAACATGACGGATATTTGTTTTTCAAAGTATATTATGAAATGAAGCTGATAATGATAGAAAATGTTTTCTGTCACTTATGCAGCTGCTCCAGTGTGCTCCCTGTTTGATTATGCACCGGAATAATTTCAGTCTATAGTAATGTCAGAAGAAAAGCGGCTGTGGTTAAGTTCTTGGTGCTAAGTTTTTATCTTTTTGCATACAGGCAGTTTTCTCTTGAGCACATTGTCTTCATGATGGAAGTCTTGTAATTTGTTGCATAATTGTTAAAAAATGTTTATTATCTTGGATGTGTATTTAGCTGATAAAACGCCCCTTTTCCCCGCAGCTTTGTGTGCATGTGATTGGAACACCGCCCACAATGTTCCACTTGAAGTAATAGACAGATGGGAGTCAGTCACAGTTACCCAGCTGAATACTGTCCTCCCACCCACACTACATCAAACTCACTGGACTGCTTTATGTTCACCAAATCACCCTGATTTTTTCTACCTTGTCTATAGGATGAGGATGCAGTCGTTTAAATTTAGACACTTTTTGTCACGACTCCTCAAAATAACCAGAAGGCCATTTGTACAACCTAATACCACCTCAATTAAAGGCTTATATAAAGCCCCAAAAGAAGCTTTATGCTGGCTGAAGCCATGTTGTGTGGATCAGGTGGACACTGGTTCATGCAATTAAAAAAAACATAAAAAAAAAAAAAAAAAACAGAAGGAAACACAAAAGAAATGAAGTTAAAGCAGCCAAGAGGAGAAAACGCCTTTAAAAGAAATGCGGCTGCTTTTATTTTTTTGGAGAAGAGAAATCCGCTCACTGTGCGTGCGCGCGCTTCTGCGCGTGTTTGTGCGTTACACTAGGTGGACAGAGACTGCATCAGACTGGAGACACACACACACGCCGGGGGGACATAATAGAGCAGAGATTTTCAGGCTTTGATAGTCCCCCCCCCTCTCTCTCTCTTCCTCGTTTTGCGCACAAACGTCAGGATGCTGATTCCGGTCGGAACATCATCATGGAGAGACACACGAAGAAAAACCTTCAGCTCCATTTTTTTCTTTGAGCAGCTCAACAATAACGACAATATGTGGCTCGCTGTGCCGGAGGGAAAATAACCAAAGATGTGGATACCAACAGAGGAGGAGAAAATCGGAGTTGGTGAGTAGATTTATCTGATTTTATTCCTAACGATGAGACAAAACCACGTCTGGCTTGTGCTGCTTTTGATTAGAATTTCGACAAAAAAATATGATTTTCCTTGTCACCCCGCACTGCCTATAGGCAGCTCACCCCCCCTCCACCTCCCATTAGAGCCAATGAAAAACACATACACTTATAATGGCTGATATAGACGGCGGTGACTGCATAGAAAAAAAAGAGGAAGTTGCGTGGGATGATACAGTCCACCACCTTAAAGATGCCATGGCAGCCTGTAGACAGCCTCGGGCGCTCACCCCCCCACACTCTTTAACCTATCATTACAATGAAATCCTTAAAAAAAAATTAAAAAAAAAATGCGTCAGGTGATGGTTTAGCGCCTTCTTCTGAGCGAACAGCATCTATTTGGAGGAAATTCGTGATGTAACCACCAGGGGGCGTCGTGACTGCGTCTCTCCGACAACAGGTATAGGCTGGAGTGGAGCTGGAGTCTACCTGTAGACAGGAGGGGGGTGAGGAGAGGGGGAGCTGCTGCGGCTGCTGCGACAGGGACTGCACTGGATGTTTGCTCTCCAACCTGTGGATGACAAAAAAAAAAAAAAAAAAGCAAAACTAATGGGGGTGGTGGATTAAATAAGACCTTAACACAATGAGGCCCATTTTAAAGGGACTGCAGGGTCTCAGTCAGTGTACGTTTCACTACAGAGGGTTGTCATTAGGGGAATGAGTCATGTCCAGATGCTCTACAGCTTGTTAGACTTGCAGGGTTATACTCGCACATGATACCCCCCCCCCCCCCCCTTCCATATGCACACGCCCACGTATATTTGGAGGCATTCGTCATGATTTTTTTTTTTTTTTGATATTGCACCCGGTCCAATATAATCTACATATGTAGCCTATATATATATATATATATATATAAAGCCCCCTCCCCTCCATCCACTTTTGATGTGTGTGGAGTAATCGCATCTTTCTGTGCTCGTCCATCACAGAATCACTGCAGTTCTTTTCTTTCCAAAGCTCAAATATACGTGTTTTTATTATTATTATTATTATTATTATTATTATTATTATTATTATTATTATTATTATTATTATTATTTAATAAAGCGCGCAGAGGAAGGGTGAGGAGGTGTGAGTGCGCGGCGGAGAAGCAACAGTTCAGTGCAGCTTCCGGTCAGTCAGAGAGGAGTGACCTGGCGCTGTCCGCGGTGCTGAAACCCGGAGCTGGCGCTGTCCGCGGTGCTGAAACCCGGAGCTGGCGCTGTCCGCGGTGCTGAAACCCGGAGCTGGCGCTGTCCGCGGTGCTGAAACGCGGGGCGGTACATGCTGTACTCTAAAGGTAGCACAAATTACCGCTCCTGCTCAGGTTACACAGCGCGGATCAGGCTGAGGATCGGTGCACGTTCTGTCAGCAAATATGGCGAGCTGCTTGTGTGTTTATTTCACACACTAGGGGTGCCCAATCCTGGTCCTCCAGGGTCACTTTCCTGCATGTTTTAGAGGCTTCCCTGACACGACACACCTGATTCAATAGTTGAATTACCCCTTCATGTTCTGGAGAATACTGATCATCCTTTGATTCAAATCAAGTGTGTTGGAGCAGAGAAAGCTTTAAACATACAGGATAGTGACCATTGAGGATCATGGATTGTACATTCCTGCTCTATATAAAGTGTCATTTTATGTCTGTACTGCACTAGTTGCACATCCAGTCACACTCACTCAACATCTTGGTGCACTAGCTGAACAAACCCTTTTACTAGTAGCACTTCTTGGTCATCTAGCTACCCTTTTGTCCAACTAAGTGGTATAGAAGTCGTACTAGTGCAAAGAGATGCTGCCCTGATAGTCACATTTAGCTTTTATTGCACTGGTGAGCCAATGGACCAAACTAGTCAATGACCATATTGCACAAGTACTGGTAAGCATTAGAATCATACCCATGTTAACTATTCAAGTTCTTCCTACTAGTTGACTAGTATTTTAAAGCATGTGTACTTTGTGACCAAATAGTTTAACTAGTCAACTAGTAAATACTAAACACTAACTAGATGACACATTTGTGTCTTTATTGGTTAACTATTTGAGTAAAATATTTTAACTAACTGTGGCACCTAAAATGTTGCCTAGTTCATTAGTATTGCCTAAAATGTTTACTAGTTACTAGTTGGCTAGTCAGTCTTTAAGTTGAACTAGTTTTCTAGTGTTTATGGCAAGCTGTTTGTGTATTTTATTGACATTCTTGATATGAGTGTTATTTTCTCAATAGTTTGCTATTATGCTGCACTAGTTGCACATTTTATTGCACTAGTTCAACAATTTGGTACTCTTCTTCACCAGGTACTCTCACTAGTAATTGTTTCTGCTAACTACAGGCACTTTTGTCCAAATGTTTGAAAAATAAGCCATTTCTGCACTAGTAGCCCAAAAGTCCCAACTAGTTGACTTTTAAACACCTCTGTGAACAACTGAACCAAATTAGTTTATGACAGTATTTGACAAGTTAACTAGTAAGTATTTAACTACGTTATATGTAACTAGTCAACACAAATGTGCCTACTAGTCAAAAAGTGAATGTCAAATGATCTCACCAATCAACAAAAGCTATCCAAAAATGTAAATAGTAAAGTAGTAAGCAGTGAAATACAAAGTACTTCCTAGTTGACTAATTGGTGAACTATTTTCTTTACTGGGTAACTAGTGAAGTAAAAATGTAAATGAGTTAACTAATGCAGCTAAATATTTGTTAGTTAACTAGCTAACTCTTAAAGTTTCACTAGTTGACTAGTACAAAATGTAATGGCCATGCTAGTTAACCAGTAAAACTGAAACTGCTCACTACTTGATTAGTGCACATGCTTGACTTTCACTAGTTGACTTGTAGGCAGAGTTTGTGTTGACTAGCAAACATGTAAGGAGTTTTATGTTTACTAATTAACTCATTTGACACAGCTGTTGACTAGTTTGGATGAGTAATTCATTAGTACATTAAATAACCAACTAGTTAGAACTTTTAAAATACTAGTACTGCAATTTGAATAGCTAGTGTTACCTCTGCTATAACTAATTGGGCAACAGTGTTATTAGTAAGAGTGAACCGTGTTATTAGTAAGAGTGCTTGTTGAACCAGTTCACCAAGATGTTGAACTAGTGAGGTTAATGTTCACCTAGTGCAGCGTAGGCTCAAATTAGAGAGCAAAAATTGTTCTGGATATGGAATAAATACACAAACAGCTTGCCATACACCAGCAGCATGTTGTCATTTCTTCATAAGCATCATCTGTGATATTGTTATTGCCACCATTCTGCATTTTCTCCTGTAATCTTCTTCCCCTTCTTTTGGTCGTTATGTGTGAATTGCCTCTCACATGTAATCCCTGCAGATAGAACAAACAGAGCTCTGGTCTGTCAGCATCCTGCTGGGCCTTTCTCTTCCTACAGCTTTAAAATAGACTAATTTTTAAAGAAAACAATAAAAATACTACTTCAAGAAACATCTGGTATCTACAAAACCTGCAGTGCATAGGTATGAAAAAAGATACCTATGTTTATGTCTATGGTTGTCAAGCTTTCAATGATTGATTTACAAAACACTTCAACCTTTATAAGATTATTTTTCAATTTTACAAGTATATTGTATCAACGTGTCTGTAGGATGGTTACTGATGGATTTATCTCGTATGAAGAAAAATGTCGTTCCTGAGTGGGATTAGGTGGACTTCTGACTGTAAGTCATGCCTGCCCACATCAGAGAGAGGGGAATGATTCAGATGTCCTCGTCTTTGGCCACACAGATGTCAGTCAGGCCCAAACTGCAGCAGCTCATGTAACAATCGATCCACTCTCACCTGCCATCAGAGGCTGAATGTAACCAACTGAAGTTCCTTAGCTGTCGAGCTTAAATGCAGATATTAAACCGTTCATGTTACTTCTATGTTGCTAACAAATAATATACTTTTACCACATAAAATATAAAAGTTCCTTTTCAGATCAGTGTTCTACATATTTTCTGTTCAATCAAAAGCACAAATTAACCTCCTGCTGCCAAAAGGCAAGAGGTAATAATAGTTTTGCTCATGACTGTTACCAAAATATCTCATGAACCACTGGATTAAATTAAATGAAACAAACAGAGAGTAATCATTTGATGATTTGGGCAGCTATGGCTGAGTGGTTAGAGCAGTCGTCCTCCAATGCAAGCGTTGGGGGTTTGATTCCACCAGCAATCACATGCCGAAGGGTCCCTGGGCAAGACACTGAACCCCCATTGCCTCCGATGTGTGTCCCGTCAGTGTATGAATGTGATAAAGCACTGATTAGTCTTTGCAAAGATCTAGTAGAGTGATGTATGAATGGGTAAATGAGGGCACGGTTGTAGTGTAAAGTGCTTTGAGTATCTTGATAAGATAGAAAGGTGCTTTATAAATACAGTCCATTTACAATTTGATGTGCAACTGATCAACATGTGGAAAAAAAACTCATTCAAGATGGCTGCCACAGCCAACTGATAGTAAAAACATCCATCCATCCATCCATTATCTTTACCCGTTTATTCCATTTTGGGTCACGGGGGTCGCCGGTGCCCATGTCCAGCAATCACTGTGCGAGGGGCGGGGTACACCCTGGACAGGTCGCAAGTCCATCACAGAGACACATAGAGACAAACGAGACAAACAACCATTCAGTCTCTCACTCACACCTAGGGACAATTTAGAGTTACCAATCAGCCTAACATGCATGTTTTTGGTCTGTGGGAGGAAACCAGCGTACCCGGAGAAAACCCACGCATGCACAGAGAGAACATGCAAACTCCACCCAGAAAGGCACCTGGACCGGGGTTTGAACCAGGGACCTGCTCGCTGAGAGGCAGCCGCTCTACCAATTGAGCCACCGTGCTGCCATAGTAAAAACAAAACAAGAAAAATGGCTTTAACTCTGAGCTAAAGGAGCTAAATGTTGGTTTGGTTGTAGATGAGTCATTTATAACTCCTCCAAATCCTACTCGTTGCACGACATAAACTGCTTAGAACTTTAGCATTAACTGTTGGAGTTAATACTGTTTGTCTGTTAGCAAAATATCTCATCATCCACTGGATGAGATTTAATGTGATTGTTTGATGCACACTAATAACTGGTTACCCTTTGGAGTCAATTTAATTCAAGACACACTCAACTGACAATAGTTAATACAAAAACAACTTTAACCTACATGCCATTATTTTCAAGCTTTGACCAAAACTACAACTCCTCATTTCTCAACACAAGGTGGTCTCAGTACAAAACTCTGACATTAAAGGCTACGGGCGATATCATTATTTTAATTATCTTTAAATTTAGCCTTTTAATTTGCACTGTCAGGTTTTAATTAAAGTTTTATAGATAAACACTCAGATTGAGGGTTTAGATGCGTCCACATTTAAATGAACTGTACAAATCTGTATAAATTAGCATAATAATAATAATAATAATAATAATAATAATATAATAATAATAATAATAATAATTTTTAAAATCCAAAATAAGTTTTTTTATCCTATAACGAGTTAACTATGTGGGGGTCTGTGCTTTTGACTCAACACCAATGTGACAAGCATATGATGCTTTTATTTGTATATGTTTTAAAATATTATTTTAAGAATGGAGCATTGATGTAGATTAGTGGTTAAAATAAGTTCAGCCCTAATCTAAAGCAGCATATCCATCCATCCATCCATCCATCCATCCATCCATCCATCCATCCATCCATCCATCCATCC